AGCTTTTTAAGCTTATCCTACGCTTCTTTAGCATTTTTTAGATACCGAATTTATATTAAGGGACTATCTTCGACTTAAAGGAATATTATAGATAAAGCCTCTATAGTCTATATATAATTTACTTACTCTAGAGTAGTAATAAGCTTTTCTTTTATAAGGATAGCTTCTATCCTCGTAGTCTATAAGGTATAATTTAAATTTCCCTTAAGTCTAGTAAATTCGTATTCTTTCTATCTACCTATTTTATATAAACTTAGTATTATTTCGTTCGTAAGGATCGAAAAGTCTAGATAGGAGTTTAAGAGCGTAGGAAGGTAAAAGAAGTTAGGGGGAATTTCGAAAGGAATTTTAATTGAATATTTTAACGAGGAATTTTAAAGGTATAAGTAGTTAATTTCCCGGCTTAAAAGGAGTAAGCCGGGCTTATAACCTCTTAAGGTATATAAGCAAAAGCGGAATTTTAGGAAATCAAGGAATTACGTAAGACTATATAATAGAGGGGAAGAAGGAGTATAAGGTAGGATTTTCAACGGAATTTATTAGTAGTATATTAGTATATAGAAGAGGTATTAAAGTTAATAATTCTCTATCTATCTACTAGCGGACATACTATCTTATATAGATAATTATAGCTAAACGGAAGAACCTTTTAGGACTAGATTTAAGCTGCCGTATAGCCCTAAGACTAAGGAATTCCGTAATACCTCGAGTAAATCTAGAAGTATCTTAGTTCTACTAATATTTATATTTAAAGGAGGTTAGTCGTACTAGTATTCTTAAGAGGTCTTAGCTAGTATTCTAAGCTAGCTCTATTCCTTCGATTCTAGATTATACGATAACCGGCAACCCGTTTAATATATAATAATATATAAAATAACGAGCGATTCTTACTCTATAAGATAAGATTTTATTTATAATTAATATACTACTTATTAGCTTATATAATTAGGAGAGTATATTATAGCTGCTTTATTTATAGTAGGAACACCGTTCCTTACACCGCCTTATACCGCCGCCTAGGTACCCTCGTCTTTAGCGCCGCTGTTCTTAGGTTCGTCGGTAAGAGGAGTCGGATCGCGGCCGTTTCTATTATTACCGTTATCGTTATCTTAGCCCTCGTTCGGCTAGGTATTAGGATAGTCTTAGCCCTCGTTTAGCTAGGCCTCTCGTTAATATCGGCCTACTTATTCTAAGGAGCGGCCTAGGCGATAATCTCCTATTAGCTAGAGCCGCCTTATCGAGATAGAGTAGCTAGGTTATCGGCACTTACCTAAGAGCGCCTAGGCACGATCTCCTCGCTAGTATTAGTATCGCTAATAGGGGTAATAGACTTATAAGTTTCTTAGCCTATAAAGGTAGGCTTATCGGTAGTTAGAGTTAAGGTATTTAGCGGGGTAACGAGGGCATAACCCTCGCTAACGTTAGGTCTTAGACTAGAAGTCTCCTAGGACTAGGATTCCCTTATACCTTTCTTAGCTTTCTTCGCTAAGGGGGAACTAGCGTCGCTATAAGACTTCTAGGCTAATCGCTTACGCTTCGAGGGTAAACCCGCCGCTACCTACTCTTATATATAGCGTAGGAAATCGGCGTTATAGTTCTTTATCTTCTTTAGCGTAGAAGGTATTATCGTTAATAAATCGTTAATAAAAAGTAATAAAAAAAGGTATAAGGGATTAATAAAAAAGGCATAAAACTCTATAGTAATCGTAAGCGGAAGAGTTAAAGAAGAAAAGAAAATAAAAGAAGTAAGAGATATATATATACGCTCTTTATATTATAGTTACGCGGCCGATATATAGGCAATACCGTAATAGTTACTTAGCGGCAACCGTTAGTATAATAACTATTAACGTTATAAAGTATAGACTAATATATACTTATATAAGTATATATACGTAATATATAACCGAAACTACCTCTCCTTTTAACCGAATATATATAGTATAGCGAAAGTAATATATATTAAAGATATAGCTAAGACGTCTATATAGAAGGGGAGATAATTATAAGAGCGCTACTAGGAGGTATAAGCTAATAAAGTACTTAGGTACGTAGTACTAATATATTAGTAGGGTATTAGTAGGGAATCGTGCCTACCCCGCTTATATATTATAGACTACTTACTACTCCGACTAAAGAGGAGAAATTCCTCTTCTCGTAAGCTTTAGTCTTACGACGAGGAGAATATAATATATATAGCGTAGTACCTCTAGCTATCTCTACTACCTAACTAATTATACCGTGATATATATTCCCTTATACCTATCTACTTCCTCCTTTAGCTTAGTAATTTTACTATTATATTCTACTAGTATCTATTCTTAAGTTTCTTAGCTTTTAGCTATCTTAGTATATAGCCTCTAAGTTATATATATTCTATTCTTACTAAGATTACGAATATAGCGCTTAGATTTCGAAGTATTATTAGAGTCTAAAAACGGCCTATATTCCTAGGATATATTAACTTTGCCTTCTTAGATCTTAGGATACCCTAATGCCTTAGAACGCGAGATCGTTTAATTTCTAGTAGTTATCTAGCTAGATAAGATATTTCTTATTATTATTCCCGTTTAACGTACCGTAGTATATATATATATAAAGTTAACCTTATTAATAGGCATAGAATCCGTTAAAGAAGCTAGTCTATTAAGCTCCTTCCGGTAGGCTATCTTTATAGCATTTAATACGCCGTTTTATAATAGCTAGAGGCTATAAGAATAGTAAGATAGAATATAATAATAGTAGATATTATTTAGAAAGTATATAGCTATCTATATATTTTTACGCTAATTAGCAAGGGTTTATTACTATAAAAACAAGGGATAAAGCGTTTATAACTCCTATATCTATCTAGAATAATAAGCCTAGACTTAGAGTCGTCGTTAGGTCGTATATAAGGTAAATAGACTTCTTTAAGCTACTTAACGGTAATATAGTTATCCGTCTATCTATTTAGTAAAGTTATATAGTTCTAGTCTATAAATACTTAAAACTCGTCTCTAAACTACTATACCTAAAGGTCTTTGCACTTAAATATAATGCTAAAAGTTAAGGCGCGCCTATTAGCGGTAATAGCCTCTATAAAAGTAGTCTAGCTATAGGACTAGGATCCCTTAAGAAGAGCCTTCTATTAAGGGTTCGAACTTCTAACTACTAGACTATTAAGACCTAGAAAAGAAATCGGATTAGGTTATATCTCTTATAGAGAGTTAACTTTATACTAAAGCCCGATATAATCCCCCCTTTATTAATATTTACCGTATTCTCCGGCTTAATCTACCCGTACTCCTTCTCCCTAACGTTAAAGTACTAGTATACTACTTTAGGGGTAAATAAGTCGAATCTATTAGCTTCCTAACGCCTACCGACCTTACGTCTAGGTTTCGGATAGCGTTAAATAAACCTTTCTACCTAATAACGTCCTAATCTTAAGTCGTAGCCTTGCTGCTTTAGAGCGGCAACAATATAGGCGCGGATTTGACTCTAGGACGGAGCGTAACCTAGAGATTCTTAGCGAAGAGTCTAGGCAACTAAGTTAGCCTCCTAGTTTCTAGATAAGTGTTTTCTAGGCTGTTCCTGGTCGGTTAATGTCGACTGGCCTCGCATTCTGCTATAAATAGTACTCTGGGGTATCACCCATTTCTGAGAAGCCTGGCGCTGTGACAGACCGATATCAGTGTTCTCGCAGGAATAAAAAAATGGAAGGTAAGAGTCAATCTGTTCATTGTCGTCTATGTAAAATGAAAGTGAGAAGTTCTGTCTTCTTATTGTCTTGAGGGAATGTGACTGCCTTGCGGTGGCGAATTTGCCACTTGCCACCCAGGCTGCTTTGTGATGCTATCTAGAAAGTTCCATCTCGTCGCTTAACAATCGCGCGTTTCATCATGCGTATCCTGAATGCGACAAATGTCATCGAGGATTGCCTCAGCTATCACGTTCTCCGTATATATCGAATGAGACCTTTTTAGAGCCATTTGTGACAGGTAGTGGAAGATAAGCAAGAGCAGAAAGCAAAGGAGGTACGAGGAAATTAGGGGTCGAAATTGCCATGTTGCGATGCCAGGGTGTCACGGACCACGGCACCTAGGTTCATCAGCTAACTTCAGAAAATATAAGTTTAGTCATTTCTATACCTGCTATAGGTGACTGCTCGCCAAAAGCTTTTAAATTAAGTATATTCTGTATAAGTGAAGTTGGTCTAATTTGTATGGAGCGGCAACATTTTTGCGGAGCATAAGGGGGGGTGAGCATAAGGGGGGGGGGTAAGCATGGTACCTCACTGCCCCCCGGAGCTTTTTTACTCTCGCGGTTCTAACTACACTCAAACATTAATACAGTCTCCACTATTCTCCTTGCTACCAAAACTTAACACGGCTAGGGACACTGAAGTAGTAGACCGCTTTCGGGAACTTCTTCGTCTGCGTTTCGGTGGTGACTCCGGCTCCTCATTCTCAGAGATAGCCTCCGATTCTAACCGCCTCCTCCAAACGCTAGGCTACCTTCCGCGGCCAGCTTACCGCAGGCTTGTCTACTTGCCTGGTCTAAGGGCAGCTGTCCCATTTTCGGACTTTCGGCCTATTTTAGCCTTGCCATCTGCTAGAAGGGGCAAGATGCATTCCAAAGGAAGATCAATCACCAGATTTAGAGGGGTCAGCCACGCGGCATCCGTAAGACGGCGTCCGTAGCAAAGTGGTTAGGTATGCATATCAATTGCCTAAATAAAACTATAATAGAAATCCTTGCAATCTGCCTGGGTATAAATGCCTCCTTCGCATTGGTGAGTTTTGCTAATGCTTTGTAAGGCTGAGGGCGTATCTATAATGTAGCTAGTACTATAGGTTCCGTGACCTGGGGGCTGTTTCCGGACACTTGAAGGGATAGGAGGTGATTATAAGAAGGGCAGTTAGGGACTGTACAGCGGCAGCGCATTTTAATATTCAGCCGCATTATCTTAGCTATACTCCTGATATACGAATAAGTCGCATTCTCTAGCTATACCAATGAAGTTCCTCTGTCTGCACGGTTCGTATGGCAGTGCTACAGTATAGTCCCTTCTCCTTACTACTACTAAGTCACTCGTCTGCTAACATTTAGCCAGAACTTCCAAGCCCAGTTAAACAATCTTGCACAGGAGTTGGAAAAGCTACACCAGTGCGAATTTCGATGGATAGACGGCCTTTATCCAACTGAACCGCCGAAGGGATTCAGTAATTACTTTGGGGCGCCACCGCTATACAACTTTACTCAACATGACGACGCCGAATCCCGCGACTCCTTCGTTGATAGACTCCGGCAATTCCCAGTCGGGAAATCGCCTGAAGATTCGCTCCGGCTTTTTTTCAAGGATCAGAATCTCTATGCCAGTGCTTCCGTTCAGCGAACCATAGAAAATTTGAAAGATACCATATCTTCGGACCCTGAGATACAGGTAAGTAATACCTCCGTTCATGAAGAAACCTATTGACAGAAACTAGGGAATCTTAGGATATTCGGAAGGGGCCATGATTGCTGCCTCCTTGATTGTTGAAGAGCGACGAAATTTTGAAAAAGCTGAAGTGCCGAGGAAAATCAAGGTACGCGCCATACAACGTGAAATACCGACGGCAAATGTCCTGCTAATACGATACCTAACAGTTCGGGGTTTTCTTTGCTGGTTGGCCACCCGTTCGCCTCGAGGGAGGCCAGATTAAATGTCTACTTCCAGGCGAGTGCGACGACATTATCGACATCCCGACGTGCCATATTGTGGGGAGTAAGGACCCATATCTACATGGAGGACTATCTTTATTCAACATGTGCGATCAAGAATTGGCCTATCTATTTGACCACGGACAAGGACATATGGTGCCCAGAGATTCAAGAACTGTTGCTGAGCTGATCGAACTAGTTGGCCAGACTGTAAGGTGCTCTCAGCAAGCTGAGAGCGCGGGCGGAAGGATAAGGGCAGGCACAATTTAGTTCAAACGATGATGCATGTTTTCTATCTATCTGTGCGACATTGAGGGGGTATTTATACGAATAGTCTCGCGAAGGAGAGATCAAAAGTGGGCATAGAAGTGAATAAAGGGACTTTTCGTAGGTAGATTCCCAGATGATCTGATAGTCTGTGATGTGCATCTGTTGATTGCTCTGCCCCGGTTGCCCTTTCCCGTCCAAACAACCCCTTTTGTATCCCTCCAAGCTTCTCCCAAGTTGGTATCCCTTTTTTAGGTATAGTATACATTCTATCAGGAAGAGGGCACTTCTTGCCGCTTACTGAAGGCCACGTAAGTCATCTACGTCAGCAACATCAGCTCTATCTCTCCGATCAAATAGCTCTTCTAGCTATTAGATCGATAGTTCAGCCTCTCGAGGTCCCCGAGCCAGTAATAGTTATGCCGGACTCCTCAAAGGGTTCCCGTTCGAATATGAGCTCCTCCTGACCCCTCAGTGGTCTAGGACGAAGAAATAACAGTCTGCAGACTTCCCTCCTTACCTGGTTTCAAGCTGTATTACTTAGAGAGATCTAGAGACGTCAACTCGTTCGGACCTTCTTCTCGACAAATAGATACCTATCTGGGGCCCGTGGAGGCCCTGAACAACCAGGGCCAATTCCCGTGTATTCCGATTAGGGCAATGTTCCTCTACTGTATCGATACCTGACTCAAGCCCCTGTGTCTGACCTGCCTCTTTCACCGGAGTTTATATGTCAAGATCAAGACGCTCATTCACGGTGCTGCCTAAAAGGCAGCAAGCAGTTCGTAATGCCATATTAGTGATGGATTCGAACCTTCTAGGTGACATCGTCATCTATGCTGCCTAGGTGGCGACATCGCCACTCAGCCCAAAATTCCAAGCATAAGAAGCCAACTTTTCACCATCACTTAGATAGAGAATCAAGAGTCTTTCGTTGTCCGATACACAGGTCTTCTTCCCGATCGTTGTTCAGTCATCCACACCAACCGTGCCCCTTGTTGTGTGACAAGAGGTTCCAGAGTGGGAGGTCTGTACGAGTCTGTGCAAAGTCGGTAGGTAGGTAGGATTTATTTCGCCCGGAGGGAGGTCCCTATAAGGCCTTTACACAGTCTAGAGTACAGTTCAGCACGTTTGTTCCTTGACTCCCCAAGCCCAACAGATTGTCGTCTTATCGTTTGCTGGTCAGCCTCGTTATCATTGGTCCCATGACAGGCCTGCTTGAAGGCCGAATTCTCCAGGTGTTCAGCATCCTATTCACAGCAGCTGAAGTGCGGTCTGCCAGTTCCGAAGCTGAGATGTGTTAGTAACTTAGTGCAGTTGCTTGTTAGAGCTCAGTTGTCTTCTGATGGTTGCGGCAGGCTTGCAAATAAATAAATCAACTCAACGTCTTTACCGGAACGGCTGCCGGGATGCGGCGCAGGTCAATTCCGACTCTGGCGGCGATGTGGGCCCGGATTGCGTATCTTTCGTGGTTTCGGGCCGGAGCATCAGCGTTAAGGCGGACGAAGACGCGGAGATCTTCCTTCGGTGGGGCTACGGGCGGTCGTCCTAGCAGACGAGTGGTGGTCTGTGGTTTTCGCTATAGCGGGGCGGGGACTATAAAGGCCGGCTATCTTTTATTTATTTTGCCGGATACGAGAACGCTGCTATACGTGGGCTTTAGTAGTTCCTCGAGTTCGGCAAGCGATTAAGTCTAGAATTTAAGAAATTTAGTAGACTTACTTAGCGATGCTATTTTCGGTACTAGACGTAAACTGCTTTGCTGCTTATTCGAATAATTCGCTAAAGACCTATAAGACTGCTAGCTTAGCGCTATAGGCAGCCGTTTTATTATAAGTAATTTTCGTGGCCGCTTCGAGGATTAAGACTAGCGCGTGCTTAGTAGACTAGACTAAGTCGAGGAGATTCGGGGCTTCTTCTAGCTACGCTCCTTCCGTAACGGCAGCTTTAGGCGTTTCGGTAGAAGAGATCAACTAGGCTAGCTGCTAGGCCGCGGGAAATAAGTCGTTTCGGCGAGCTTCCGTCGGGTAGCGAGGTCGGAGATACGATATATAAGCCGCTAAATTTAGCGGCGATCGTATGCCTTATCTCGAGGTATTAGAGTCGATATACGAACCTAAGGCTAGTGCTATAGTCGCTGCCGGCGCTTACGCGCGGCTTAATTAGAGTTTTATTAAGAGCACTTATTAAGTAAAAGTATATAAGAATAAGCTACTTTCTTAATACTTACGTACTAAGAAAGTAAAAATATAAGGAAGGATATTCTAAGTAATATAATTTAGTTTAGTTTAGTATATTTTCCGTCTAGTAACTTTTAGTCGCTTAGGTCTCTATAAGGGAGCATAGGACGTGCTAAGTTAGTAGGTATCTATATACTATATATTATATACTTTACCTACTATCTAGTATTTTATCGGCTTAACGGCGCTTATAATAAACCTATTACTTACTAGCGGGACGTTTAGGTATAAAGAGAAAGCTATCCCGTAGTTAGATTAGCTAATTTACTTCTAGGGCCTTATAGCCCTTAATAACCTCGGCGATTATATAGTCGCGAGACCTTAACGCTGCCTAAGATCGGAGTAGGTAATAGAAAGAATTAAGAGGAAAAGGTAGGGTAAGAGAGGAGAATAATAACTATTTAGCGGCGTATATAGATCCCTCTAAAGAAGGAGCTCGCTTTCGCTAGCCTAACGAATTTATTAAAGTCCTTACTAATTACGCGGTTAATAGCTATAGGCGGCGAAGGTATAAGCTATATATAATACTATAGCGTAACCTTTTTATAGTAAAAGATATATACTAGCTCTTTTTATTATCTATATAAGTATATTAGTCGCGTATTATCGTAACTAAACCTTTTATAGTAGTTAGTAAAATCCCTATAGTAGGTCCTTATTATAAGTAAGTTATAAAGTAAGGGCTAAGAGAGCGTTAATTTTAACGGATAGCTAGTTATAGCTTTAAGCCTTAGGTCTTTATATCGCTCCGGCGTAGAGGCTTCCTACTAAGCCTTAAAAGCCTCTTCTAGCTACTATCGAGCAATCTTTTATATATTACGACCACGGTCTAGCGAACCGCGGGGACCAGTATATATTACGAGGGCACGTGACGTAGGGAGCAAGGAATATTAGACGGACCGACGGGCCAATTAAGTTTAGAGCGACGGGTTACTCTAGCGCTCTAACGCTCTATAGCTAGGATCGTAGGATCGCTCTAGCGCCCTAGCGCTCCTAGGCGACGGGATCACCTAGTGCTCTCGGCGATCTAAGAAAGCTCTCGAGATATGTAAGGAAGGGACGGAATACTCCTTTAAATAGATAGCTCGATAGCTTTTAATATAGATCTTTATTATAATTCTATCTCTAATTCTAATTACTTAGTTATAGTCTATGGTCTATAACCTCTAACTTATTACTAACGTAATATACTTATTATTACTTAGACCACGCCCTATTATATCTACTAATATAAACCCTCGATAGGTTTATCTCTTAGGAATAATACCGGTCGTTATACGTTAAAAGCTCTTATTTAGTATAATACCGCGTTACTTTAAGTAATATTGTAACTATTAATATACCTATATAGTAAACTAGATTAACTAACTCTAGAGCTATTATATCGCCTTAGGATATAATACGCGAGATTATTACCCTTTAATAAGAGGTATAGTTACTTAAGAACGGAGGAGGTAATAAATAAGTTAGGGACCTTAAAGAAGTAGTTAAACTAAAGTAGCTAGGACTATTTAATGGTACTTATAGCACGCTTCGAGACTTTCTTACCTAACTTAAGGCCTACTACCGGTTTTACCCTATTAAACTCTTAGACCTAGTCGAAAAGGTACTCTATATAGGAAATTATTTATTTAGAACGGCACTCGCTTAGTTTAGACCTATTATAAGGGGCTTTCTCGATAACTAACTAGCGCGACGAGATAATAAGATAGACGAAGTCTTTACTAGTTTCTAAGGATTTAAAGAAGCTATTATAAAGGTATTCGGAATAACTAACGAGGAATAAGAAGCTAAATAAAAACTTCGAGAACTTTAATAAAGAATCTTAGTATCGGATTATATTACGAAGTTCCGTTAAGTTACCTTAAAGCTTAATTAGGACGACGAACCTCTTATATTACGATTCTATAATAAGCTTAAAGAAGAAGTTAAGGACGAACTCTATAAAGAAAATCGACTTAATAACCTCTTAGACTATATTATTATAGTAGTATAAATCGACGATAGATAGTATACGCGACGCTAAGAAAAGAAATAAGGAAGAGGAAACTAGAACCCTTTTTATAGGAATAACTTTAACTAACGCGCTAACTATAAAAAAAAGCGCGAAACTCTTATTACCTACGCCTATATAACTAACCTAAGTAGGATAGACCTAAACGTAATATAAAAAAGTAAAGGAAAGTATTTTAACTATAGGAAACTTAGATATTACTTTAAAGAATATAAATAACCTTATAAGGAGAAGAAAACCTACTAAGTACTAGCCCTAAAAGGTAAGAAATACCTAAACGCTACTAATAAATAGGAACTAAAGTATAAACTCCTTAGTTAGACTATATACTATAACGACGAATATATAGTATACTTAAGCGATAAGAATAGTACTAGATAGTTCCTAAAGCTACTAAAGAAGACCCTTATAATAATATAATAAAGGGATCCTAAAATATAGAAATAAGTTAAATTTATAGAACCGGAATACCCTTATCTTAAAGGAGTCTCTTAAGACTAAATTAAGAAGAATAGTAAACGATTCTAGGAAGATATATAAAATAAAAATCGATAATAATAACGGGTAGTCTATAAATAATATAATAAAGAAGATATAAACGTAGCCCTTATACTTACGAAACTCGGATAATAACTTAAAGAGGAATAACGAAGTATCGACGATATAAGCTCTAAAGAATAAGAAATACTTAGAGAAATAGAAGATAAGAACGAACTTATATTACTACCCTTACTATTAAGGGAAAATGC